TCTGGTTGTCGGTTTTTGTAAGACTACTCCGCTTTTGTGAATGCGGTAACTGAACTCCACTCAAGCTATCGTGCTTTATGCAATAGGATGCACGAGAGCTGGGACACTGCCAGGTTGCCCAAGCCTAGACAGGGGAAGCCGAGGGGCAGAGGTCGGGTTCGAACCACGGGCCCTCCGGTCAGTAAATTCGCGCTCTAACCACTTGAACCATCTTGCCCTTATGCAATAGGGGTGAAACAGCGAGGCAGTTATCCTGTTTGATATTTCCTCATATTTATGTAACCTGATCAACATGATGTGGTATACGGGTTTCGGCAAAGCGCACCAAGGTTTTGTTATGTATTCCGAAGGCGTTGGTAGGCGGACAAGATTTATGGGACGACCTGTCTGTCAGCTCATTTGGCTTCCCAATCGGAACTGGCTAGTGTGGAAAGATTTGGTGAGGTGTAAATCCGGAAGAATGCTCTGCTTTTCGTGTCCAGTCTATAGAACAGGCGCGTTTTGCACGCGGATGACCGCTGCTGGAACGTCAAAGCACCTCGTGACGGTGCACACTACTGGTATATTGCTCCATGCGTTCCGTAAAACGGCAACTGTTGTTCTCATAGTTGTTGCTTCCCAACGCATAAGTGGTTCAAAGCCCCAACCTAAGTCATCGAAGCTTATGCGGAAAATCTTCACCAAATGAACGGACGCCGCTGGTCGATTGCAGACGAGATGCCTTCAGACCTTTCTGTCCTTTTTGTTTACTTGAGCATCACGGGTGGGAACACCTACCCTATAGTGCTTCGCCACCGGAACTCGTCTGGCTATTGAAGTTTAACCGATTTCTACGTCTCCTCAGGCTAACTCAGTATCGTTCTGACACTCAATTCCACTGAGTGGCCCATTTCAGCCTCATGCGAGACATTCACGTTCTAAGTTGCAAGTTGACTCCTTAGGTGCCGCTGAACTACGACTCCATGTACCCTACAACTTGATGGGTGAGAGAACAGTTACCGTCGTACTTCAGCATACTCATACTTCCTTCACTAGATGCGGATCACTCAGCATGGGCGAGCGTGCGCGTATGCCATGGTCTCATGGTGCACCCCGAACAAGCGATGGCATTCTATCCCCACCTTCAAAGAGCATTTCCATTCTATGAGCACTTAAGCTTTTACGGTGCTGCGAACAGAGGTAAGCAAATTATTACCATCTTTTAGACATTCGTACTAATCATTATTTGACCTTCCTTGGTACTTTTTCCACAACGTGGTAGCCGGTGCATCACCGTAACTGTTAAATGTAATTATATGAATTGCGTTTTTTAGCTACAGGTGATTTCAGTCAGTGGCCATGAGGTTGGTGTTATGTATACCGCCCTACACGTAACTGGATCTGTATCCTTATTCTGGTTCCGAGTGTTTATCGAGCTACATCCAGTGGTAGGTGCTCTCGAGTTTCATCTCGGACTTGGTTTATTTCGATCGGACACCACATGTTCCACTTTTAAGCATCATGCCGGTCAAGTTCGATTTCCATACTTTCGAGGTGTTTGCTATTGTACAATGCCAAAGAAAACCGGTGCGGTGTGAATCAAAGTTAGATGGTCTCAAACCAACGGCTCAATAGTTTGTCTTCTGTCCATTTGTTAACAGCATTTTTGGCTACCGTGTGTAAAATTCTACAACCGGTATAGTCTTTGGTATAAATCTGCGCTGCTTCGTCCCGTTTGCCGTTCAAATCGGCTAATGATTTAAAACTACCCAATTTTCCCTAAATTCCGTGTTGCTTGTACACTGGGTGCATCACGACAATTCTGGGACTGTCGAATTGAGGAAATGTCTGAAATACTCCTGAGGTTTCAGTGAGAAATGGTTCCAGCTTGATCGTTTTTTGCTTTCCGTCTCTTTACCATGATTCGCTTAGGTTCTTTGCTGATATCGTCGTTTTTATGTTTCCAGAAAGCTTCTGACGATAAAGACTCGAACACTGTGAAATCACCGATTCGGGGTCATCCTACTGCAAAACATACACGAGAAGAGTCTCCTGTTAGTCTTTCTCGACGTCATTACCGCTCTAGTGACGAAGACGAGTTGAGGCATCGGCGCGAAATTCGATCATCCAAGTGAGTTATTTTCCGATTGTTTTTTTTTGTG